GCTGTAGCTCAAGTGGTAGAGCGCTAGCTTTGAGCTGAAGAGCTGAGGGACAGCACCCAGGCCCAGAGCTCAGGCCACATGACCAGATCAAAAAAAAAAAGATAGAGCCACTTCCAGCTGTGGCAGGAGTTGAGTCCAGCAGCATCAGAGGACTTGTTCCCTCAGACAATGTCCTGACAACCCTAAGCAGGTTCAGAGAAGGTGCTGGAAGTTGCTACATTACCAACAGTCTTTGAGGATTCTGGTGCTGCCTGCCGCTGGAGAACCAAGTGAGAGTCATGAGAAGGAGGACAGCAGACACCTGGAAAGCAAGGAGGTGGGGCCTGAGCTGAGCTGCTGCATTGTAACTGTGCTCTGCTTCATGTCTTCCCGATTCCTAATCAAATTGCCTTTGCGCCCAGGGGCTGGAGGTGCATGGGGAGAGGAAAGGTAGGGTTGTTCCCAAGGACAGATTTCCAGAGAGGAGTCAACCTACTGCCATAGTTACAGCTACTGTCCTGTTCAAATGATTCCCTGACATTGCTTTTCCCCTGTGTGGCTGCAGTTAAACTGAAGAGAGAGTATGATGAGATTCTGGATATGGATATGGTCCACTGTGGACTCTCATCAGAACAGAGCCAAGCAGGAAGTTTGCAGTTATAGCCTGCACATGACCCGCCCCTAGATTCTTTCCATCACATAGGTAGTTAAGTGGCTATAGAAAGAGGAAGTCCACCACTGCCTATATCTGTAGCATCCTTTGCAAAGGGTGTCTGAGCCTGCCTGAAGGTGAGCATCCCCTACCCTTCTACCTGGAAGACTTGCTACAGAACTGTTCTTGACAGTGGGTTCCCAATACATTTTAGATTCTTAATAAAACAAAAAAGAGATAATAAACCGATGTTCCTAATAGATGGTCACATGACTTTTGTGTCTTTCTTATCCCAGGTTCATTGAGCTTCTGGCTTCAAATGCAGAGATTTAACAGTTCAGCCACTTAATTTTCTAGGGTTACACACCTGATTGATTTTTGTTTTTATGTTTTTTTTTTTTTTGGAGAGAATAGTCTTTCTGTCTGTATCCAGGGCTGGCTACAAAATTTTGATCTCCCTTTGTCATCTCTAATTGCATCTATGTGGGTTTAACACTCTCAAAGATGGAATAGTTCTGTTTCCCTGGGAGCATTTCCTCCATTATTAGAATCTTCTCTGGTGACTGACTTCCCCTCAGCAAAGAACATCTTTTTAATCTGAAAAGTTTTCAAGTAATTTTATGAAGTTTAGGCGAAAGTGGGAGGAAGGGTTTAGAAGAGAAAATCAGACTAAAACATGCTTAGTAAGCAAAAGTAAAGTGTCCTGTGAATGTGGGCCCTGCAGTGCTTGCCTTTAATCCTGGCTAACTCACAATGGGAAGATTTGAGAATCAAGGTTAGAAGGCAGGCGAGGTAGAGAATTCTGTGACACTCTTCACTTTCAACAAAAAAGCTACATCAAGGTTTCTGGCTCATATAAGATCTCAAAGACCTGAGTTGAAAACTTTGGTAATGTCCACATACAAAAGCCATAAATGCAGCTCAAAGAAAGAGTAAAAGACTCCTAACTTTGTTATCATACAGTAGCCTAGGGACTTTTGATGTATTCTGACATTTTAGACATGAGGTGCTGATGAGAAGAAGCAGTCAGGGCAGAGTGGATGGTGTAAGGTGTATTCCTTGTGTTCATTCATTGTCTTCACATGCGAACATACGAAATCCTGGACACACATTTCTTAAGACACCCAGGTGAGAATACTGACTTCCCCCATCTCAAATGCAGGATTTCATGCTACAGTTCTGCCAGTTCCCCCAGGCTCATCAGTGGTCTGATGACCTGCTAGTTTGCTGACTACCTAAGCATTTTTTAGAGGGGAACAAGGGCAGTATTGGGGCTTTAACTCATAGCCTAGCCTCTGTCTCAGGTATTTTTGCTGAAGACTGGACCTCTACCACTTGAACCCTACTTCCCTATTGAACTCTTTACTGGTTAATTGGAGAGAAGAGTCTTCCAAATAATGCTGCATGAGCTGGCTTCATAGACCAGCTTAGCCTCCTGAGAAGCTAGGATTATAGGCATGATCCACCAAGTGCTCTTATTTGTTATTTGTATTAAAGTTGGTATATACAGAATCACTGTATCTCTTGAACAGGAGGCTTGAAGATAGCAGGCAAAGTGACATTTTTTCCAGATGACACCCTGTTTTTAGAGCACACTGGTTTCAGGAGACAAATGCAAACCATGATTCCTGCTTTGAGATCACTATGTTATCACTGTTTCAAACTGAAACATGATTAAACAAAGTACAAATGTGGACATCTGAGATCTCTTGAAAGAGGCTGTGTGTTTCCTAAAAGTTGGGAGGGATTATGGAGAAAATGAATGGCTAGATAAGCTTACAAAGAAAAAAGGGGGAGAGGAAGAGAGGGAGGCAGATAGAGGCATTGCAGACTGCATAACCAGTTTTATTGGATATCATTCACCAGCAGAGCACATTCTTTAGAAGACTCCTTCAGAGATGTGTCTAGAAGGCCTCAGGTAAATAACAAAGGCGAAAATGTCAATGTCCACCAGTGTCTGCCATGTCTTCACTTAGCTCTGCAGAGGAGGTCGGTCTTCCTGGGATAATGAAGTGCATAGGAGTCCAAGACAATGAAGCACTCAGCTGAAGGAATCCTGAGGAAAGCAGAGAGCTAGATCACTCATTCTGATAGCCTTTCACTACCAAGGAGTCAAGCTGCACACTGAGACTGGCAGCCAAGTCCTTCTTGGTTAGGGGCTGGCTCCAGACACTTTGCAGCATCTGGTAGCCTTGGGAGGAAGAAGAAAGGTCAGAGAGTCTAGGAGCACAAGAAGCCTGTGGGGACACAAGGGAAGGAGGGGAGAAGTAAGAGACATTCCAGCGCACCCACTCCTCTATGGGAACCTATTCATTATTCATATGCCCCCATTTCCTTTTCCTCCCTCAATGACTTGATTCAAAATATGGTTGACTCTGGGGTCCTGCACTGCAAGGGGCTGTGGGAACATCTGGATTCTCAGATTCCTGAGCAGTCTAAGTCTATAAGATAGCATGTTTGAAACCAGTTACTAAATGGGCAAGGGAACTAAAGAGGGACTTCTCAGATGAAGAAGTAAAAATGGCAAACACATGAGGAAATGTTCATCAACCCTAGTGGTGAAGGAAATGCAAATAAAGACAACCCTGAGATACCACCTTACCTCAGTTAAAATGTCCCACATCTACAAATCAGCCAACGACAAATGCTGGAGGGGATGTGAAGAAAGAGGAACCCTATTACACTGCTGGTGGGAATGTACACTTATACAACCACTTTGGAAAGCAGTCTGGAGAGTCCTTAGAAAGCTAAAGATTGACCTCCCTTACGACCCAGTCATACCACTTCTAGGCATCTACCCTGAACAACAGGAACCAATATACAAGGACACGTGCACCTCCCAATAGCTAGGATATGGAAATAACCCAGATGCCCCACCACAGATGAATGGATCCAAAAATTGTAGTATCTATACACAATGGAATATTATGCAGCCATTAGAAATGACAAAATAATGGCATTTGCAGGGAAATGGATGGAGCTAGAAGAAATCATGTTGAGTGAGGTAAGCCAAGAGCAAAGAGACAAATGGTACATGGTCTCCCTGATAAGTGGATGTTAAATCCAAAATGTTAGGTGATACGACAAAATTAACAGGACTTAAGAAACAAAAAACTTCCACTCATCTGGTCAAACCACTACTAAATATCCCCATGCTGCTGATCACATGTATGGTATATATATGTACACAGTTATATGTTATAGACTGTGATAGACAATTTGCTCCAGGAAAGTTAGAATGAGCTTGTGACTTTAAATGAGCATCATTATTCCACAATACTGTGAAATTTGGGAAATTATGTAATCACTTAATCACAATTAAAAAAAAAGAACTTGGGGAAGATAGGGAGGGAAAGGATGGTGGGGGAAAAAGAATGGAGGGTGTAACAATGCTCAATAGGAAGTATACTCATTACCTTACTCATGTAACTGTAACCCTCTGTATAGTATCTTTACAATACAAAATTAAGGGAAAAAAAAGATGGCATGTATGAGCAAGAAGTTTGGCCTCAAGGCCTCACCTGGAATTTGAGCAGACACTTACCTCCAGCTTGATAGTGAAAGCTCCTGTGCTCCAAAAGCCATATCATGCCCATGAGCCACTGCCTGGCCAGAGGTGGGCCCACCACAGTGACTCGGGTGTGGCCTGTGACTGTGAACCAGGACTCCAGCTGAATGAGGGTGTGGCTGAGCTCCTCTATGCAGCGGAGGTATCTGTCCCCCTGCCCTAGGAACAGAAAAGGAGAGAGGAAGAATAGGGAAACCACCAACAGAACTGGGAGTCAGGTGAACATGAGGGTGGAGGCTTGGCACAGATCCAAGAGGAAACATGGGGAGAGACTGATGAATGTGAAGAGACAGGAGAGGGCATAAGGGCCACCTACCGAATATCTTCTCCTCCAGCTCCTCTTCCAGGTAAAAGACCAATGGGGCATTGAAATTTTCAGGCTTGGTCCACCACTCTCTCATGCTGAGAAAGCTCATGTCCTGACTTTACTCAGCAAAGAGCAAGTCCAAGAAGCTGGTTGTAGAGATGAAGAAGTTCTGAAGCTCTGGGTTTTATATCCTCACTCAGATAATCCACCCTTCCCCACCCTGGACCCACCCTAGAGAGGCTGAACCAGCCCTTAAAATCTTCAAAGATAATCCACTCCATCACAGATGAATCCAACCCTGGATTCCTCCAGTTTAGATCCAAACCTTCATGATAAACTAGTTAACACAACCCATGTATCTGGTGCCTAGGAATGCAAGCTTGTCTTCACTCTGACAGAGTGAGCATGACTGAGGTTTGAGGGGTGCATATACTAGAACAAAAATGGCGTCAGAATGGGCCTCATTGAGTTTTCTATCCCAACTACGAAGAATATAGAACAGAGGTGATTGAGAATGGAGAGAGCTGGGGCACAATTATCTATAAACTATCTCAAATTAAGAGTTAATAAAAGCAAATGGTTTGGGATGTGGAGCAGTCCTAGAGCTAGGGAAGTGTCAGCACTGACAGCATTCCATCCAGGATAGGCTAGAATAGGATAGGGGAGGATATGGGAAGAAGAAAAGTGGGGATGGGACAAGACAAGACAACAGGACCGGACAAGATGGGAAAGCAGAGAGGACGGGAGAGGGGACATTGCTTCTGTTTCTTTACCTGAAGGTTTGTGCTTCAGGTCTCTTTCCATGGATGATTTGTTTCTCTACCTCACTGAGAAAGCTCAGTTCATGGTTTCCAAGTGGGGTCCTTTTGATCAAGGTCTAGTTAGCTTTTCCTTTGCATTAATCATTGGTCTCTTCTAAAAGATTAATTCCTTAGGTTCTACCAATGCAAAGGCTAATACAGCAATTTTCAGGCGGTTGAAAGCTGAATTATTTATTTACTTTAAAGTCTCAAACACTTTTTAATCTTCACAATGATAGTCATCATTATCTTAATTTATATTGCTTAGGAACCCTATTACTTTTAACAATGACACTTTTTTCTTTACAAACAGGGTTGCATGTACATTTCTTTCCTTTTGCTTCATATCAGCTATTCCCTTATTCTCTCTCATTCCCTCCATCCCATCTCCACCCTTGCATTGATTAGTCCACTGTCACCAATGTCCAGTGCCGTTGATGGGGCCCTTCTGCTGTACTTTTTCACCTGCTTTCCACTGATTCTGCGCTCTGGTCCTACCTTCCCTCAGATGTGCAAGTGTATACACCATAGATGAGGTAAAGAATACAGAGTCATCTAAAACGATCAAACCAATTAAGAAGACATTCTTTGTTTTCTTATCTTCAGTATGCATACTATTTTATATACAAATGAAGAGGTGCTTGGGTATAGCTGAGTTTTGAAGAGTATCTGAATTTAGTTTTGGAATCGATATTTTTTCTTTCTGTTGATTCTAATTATTCACTGATGACAGGAATTTAATAGCTTTTCTAAGGATAGTAAAAATGCCAGTAATTCTTCAGTAATAGAGTGAAATATAGCCCACCCTGGGAAGGAGAGGAGTGCTCTATGTTTGTGGGTTTTTTTGTGTATTTCTTTTTTCTTTTTTTGGGGGGAGGTCCGGTCATGTGGCCTGAGCTCTGGGCCTGGACACTGTCCCTCAGCTCTTCAGCTCAAGGCTAGTGCTCTACCATTTGAGCCACAGCACCACTTCTGGCTTTTTTCTTTTGCTTATGTGGTGCTGAGGAATCGAACCCAGGGCCTCAGGCATGCAAGGCAAGCACTCTACCACTGAGCCACCTTCCCAGCCCCATCATTTTTCATATTTAATGTGATATCCTGCCATACTCTTCCTACATAATAATGCTCAGATGCATGCAGCTGTGTGCACAGGGCTGTTTATTTTCATTGCAGATCAGACAGGGATGTTCTTCAACTTCTAAAAAGGAAATCTGACAATCTGGTCCTGTAGGTGCTGCTAAGAGGAAAACAAAATCCATGTAACTATTCTGGTTCTCCTCTGATGTAACAGTACTTGAACATTTGATTCTAAATAGAAAACCAGAAATGGCGCTGTGGTTCAAGTGATAGAGTGCTAGCCTTGAGCTAAAGAGCTCAGGGACAGCACCCAAACCCAGAGTTCAAGCCCCACAACTGACCAAAAAAAAAAAGAAAGAAAGAAAAGAAAAAGAAAAAAAGAAAATTTGATTCTAGCAGGGCAATTCTAGCTACTTAGGAAACTGACATGTGAAGACCATGGTTCAAAGCCAGCCTAGATAGAAAAGTCCATGTGAATCTTATTTCCAACTATCCTCCCAAAATCTGAAGTGAGAATATGGCTCAAGTCATAGAGCACTATCCTTGAGTGAAAAAAGCAAGCAAGAGCAGGAGGCCCTGAATTTGAGCCCCAGTATCAGAATGTATGTACACACACACATACATACACACACATACACACACACACACACACACACAAACATGCACAAAGCCCAAATAATATTATAGTTTTGCTATAAAGTTATATATATATATATATATATATATATTTATGGGTTTGGGGGGGGGTTATTTTCCCTATTCTTAGAAGTAGAAATCCATTCTGGTGCCTCATGCATTGTAAGCCTGCTGTTCCCCACTGTGCTACAAACATCACAAACCCAACAATTAGAGAATTTCCCTTCCTCTCAGACTCTCATACTCCTCCAGGCCTAGTCATTGTTAGGTAGGAGACACAGCTATAAACTACATTTCTCATGACATGATTGTGCAGTGACAACCTTTATCATCTAATTTCTCTCAAAAGTTCTCACCTGTAATCCTAGCAACTCAGGAGTTCAGATGTGAGGATCATGGCTCAAATCCCATTTGGGTTAACAAATCCAAAAGACTCTTATTTCCAGTTAAACAGCCAGATGCCACAAGTGGAGGTGTGGTGGCTCAAGTGATAGAGTGCCAGGCTTGAATAAGAAAACCAAGTGACAGTGCAAGTCCCCGAGTTCATGCCCCCAAACTGGCATTAAATAAAGAATGATTTGTAGCAGGCCCCGTAGAGAGGAAGTAGCCTGAGATGGCATCTCCAGGCATGTGTCCATGTTTTCCGCACATTCAACATCCACTGCATTAGGGTTCTCCCCCCAGCTTCTAGCCGCTGCATTCTTCTCTCCCTTTCTCAGTGGTCACCTCCTCTTCCATCATATATTCATCTGTCCATCCATGGGCTTGTAGTGGGGTTTGAACTTAGGGCCTGGGTGGCACTCCCCTCTGCTTCTTTCCTCAAGTCTAGCACTTGACTACTTGAGCCACTACTCCACTTGTATTTGGTGGTTTATATGTAAGAGTCTCATGCACATGCTTGCCCATGCTGCCTCCAAACTGACATTCTCAGATCAGCAGCCTGAGTAGCTGGGATTAGAGGTGTAAGTTTCTGGCACCTGGCTTTCCTTTGTTGTTATTATTGTTGTTATGGGTCTTGAACTCTGTCCCTGCGCTCTTCAATTCAAGATGAGTGCTTTACCACCTAAGCTACAGTGCCACTTCTACTTTCTTGTGGTTAATCAGAGATAAGAATCTCATGAACTTTCCTGTCCAGGCTGGCTTTGAACTGTGATCCTCAGGTCTCAGCCTCCTGAGTAGCTAGTATTAGAGGTGTGAGCCACCAGCACCCTGCCTCCTTTATTATTTTAAAGTTTTTGTTATTATAAAGGTGATGTGTAGAGGGATTACAGTTGCATATGTCCAGTAAAGAGTACATTTCTTTTTTGACAATGTCACCGCTTCCCTCACTCTCTCTTAGTTTTCCCCTTCCATCCCTACCCAGAAGTTGTATAGTTTATTTTCAATATCATGTCTAATGAGTACCATTTTTGCATTTTTCATCCTTTTTTCCCTCCATTTCCTTCCCTTACCCTCCCAAAGACACACAAATGAACAGACAAAGCAAAAAGAGTGCAAAAACTCCTGTTTTCACTTCCTGGAACTCATTTTGAGAAATACTATGTCATCAGATACACATAGGCATTCTGCCTTTCTGTTTCTCTCCTATCTTCCTTTGGCCTCAGTGTATATGAATGCCTAGAGACCTGTATAATTGATTATATCCCGGTGTACTTTAGATTGGTCTTCCACATATGAGAGAAAACCTATGCCATTTGTCTGAGCTTGGCTTACCTTACTTAACATGATTTGTTCTAGGTCCATCCATTTCCCTAATGACATATTATTCTAATTGCTGTGTGAAATTCCATTGTGCATAGGTATTTTTTTAATTCATCCATCTAATGTAAGGCATCTGGGCTGTTCACATAGCTTGCCTGTTGTGAATAAAGTAGCAATGAACGTGAGTGTGCAAATGTCTTTATGGTACCCTGGTTTGTGATGTTCTGGGTAGATGCCCAGGAGTGGTATGGCTGGTTCACAGGGAAGATCTGTTTAGTTTTTTGAGGAACTCCCGAATTGCTGTCCAGAGTAGTTGACTAGTTTACATTCCCACCAACAGTGCAATAAGGTTCATTTTTTCCCCCACATCCCTGCCTAGAGCGTACATTTATTATTTGAATTCACAATGTTGACCAGTCTGCCTGGGGTGAGATGGAATCTCATAGTTGTTTTGATTTGCATTTCCTTTATGGGGAGGGATGATGAGAATTTCCTCATGTGTTTGTCATTCTTAGTTCTTCTAGCTCCTTTGCCCATGAATGATTAGCTTTTTTGGCGGGGAGGTAGTTTCTGGGGCGCCCTGTATATTTTGGGTATTAGGCCTTTGCCAGATGTATTGCTGGTAAAGATCTTTTCTCTTTCCTGTTTAGCTAATTTAGTAACTATGTCCTTTGTTCTGCAGAAACTTTTTAGTTTGATGTAATCCCATATGTCAAATCTCTATCTTCTGTGCCCCTGGGCTTCTTTTCAAAAAGTTTCTGCCCGTGCCTCTGAGAGTTATGTTTCTCCTACTCCCTCTTGCAGTAATTTCAAAGTTTCAGGTCTGACATTAAGGACTTTGATTCACTTTGAGTTGTATTTGTGTATAACAGATCCACTAGATGTCTAGTTTTCC